GGGTGCGCGGCGAGAAACCCGCGCTGCACGTCGGTGAAGCTGGCGGGGCGAGCGCACAGCCGCACCACACCACCCGCCGGGTTGGCGCCGCGCTCATCGCCAATGTACACAGCGCCGTCATCTACAGCTTTGGCCGCGGCATCATCATCATCATCATCATTATCGTTGTTGTTATTAGCCGAGTCGGCAGCAGGAAGGAGACGCACACCGCACGTGTCAGGCCGCGCCACGGCGACAGACCGCACAACGTTGCAGACGCACTGCCGCAACATCGCCGTCTCGCTGTCGTAGCAGTACACCGCGCCAACAGAAGGGTGACGGCTCACCATACTTGCAATTCGCCCCGTGCCGCAGCCGAAGTCTGCCACGTGCAATACCCGCGCCTTTTCCGAAACAGATGTGTGCTCCTCTCGAGTCCCTTCTCCTTCCCCTTCTGTTGCAGACTTTACTGCTTCTGTTTCTGCTGTCGCCGCCGTTGTGGACCGCTGCAGGGTTGTCAAGAGGCCGTCAAGATAGTCTTGCACCGCACTGCAGTCGTGGCGGCGCATGATAAGATCATACTGCCGCGGGAAACGGCGGTACATCTCAAGCGTCCCCACCTTGAAGGCAGGCACCTCCACCGCGTTGTCCCCATCCACGCTGTTTCCGTCCCCTCTTCGTCCTGCCTCATGTGTCGTTCGCGCCGCATTCCACGTGTTCTGCAGCTCACGCCGAATTCTCGACGAGAGGAGTGTGGTGGTAAGCGGGACAACTGGCGGCTGTGTCACGTCGGCCCCGTCGTCTGATGATGCGTCCCGCGCAGTCTTTCGCCCCGCCATATGCTTTCTGCTTGTCCTGCTGGTGTTGCCGCAGGGCTCAAGTGAAACCCCCTCCACCGTCCTTGCGTCTTTCCCTCGCAGCGCCGCAGTTCACCCCTTGTAACGGGCGGCACGTTGTCTCTCTTATTTTTTTTTTTAGTTTGGGAGGTGGGGGATCATCGTATACGACGCCACACAAGAGAGCGGCAAAGAGAAGAAGAACGCAAAAGACAGCAGAGAGCGCAGCATACCAAAGTCCCAGAGCCGAAAACAACCCCAACAACAGTACCACACCACACATGTTTCAACAGACACACATCACACTGTCCCTGACCGAATCCCATTTCTGTTACGTGTGGGCCGCCACACACATGTACGTACCCGCACAGATGCACCACCCACCTATGCAATCGGCAACGACGCAGTGAGGGAGAATTCACCGCAGTCGGTGGATGAGTGTGCGCTGCTTGCGCCACTCAAGTTCTTCACGCTTCACCATGGCGTACACAGCGCGTTCAACGATCTTCACGTCGAAGCCCATGCGTGCCATCTCAGACAGCAACCGGTTCTGTTCCACTGTCGCACCCAACGCGACGCGACGGCGCAGTGCCTCTTCGATGCGCAGCATTAACTCACTCTGTGCGGCCGTCATACTTTGGTCCGCCACACCACTCTTAATAGCGTCGACCGTCGCCATTTTAAAGAGCCGAATAGCCTCTTCCGCGTCGGTGCGGCTCGCCAGGACGTCGAGGCGCATGCGCGCCAGTGACTCAGTGATACGCACCAAACTTTCCAGCTGACGAGCGGTAATTTGAATGATTGGCGTCTGCGGCTTTGCGCCGGTCGAGCCAGACGATCCGGAGATAGACTCTAGCGTCTGCTGGTGCGCGTCGCGACGGACATGCACGTAGAAGTCCAGCAACACTGACATGGCGTCCTCCGAGATGCGTGGCTGCCGCGTAGCCCGCGCGTAGGAGATATACTTGGTGAAGAAGGACCGCTCCACCGATGGGGAGGCTGCTGATGTCTGTGCGTGGCGGCCGCTGCCGCCCTTGTGCAGATTGACGACGTGCTGCGCGAGGCGGTTGTCGATCTCCGGGTTGCGCGGGTCAAGCACCTTGAAGATGAGGTCAAAACGGGAGAGAATGGAGCTCTGGAAGTCCATCTGGTCTTCGTTCGAGCGCAGAGGGTCGTAGCTGCCGAGCGTCGGGTTCGCTGCGGCAAGCACACTCGTCCTGCTGTTCAGCATCGTCGTGAGGTTCGCCTTGGCGATGGAGATGGTCTGCTGCTCCATCGCCTCGTGGATCGCCACCTGGTCCTGCTCCCGCATCTTGTCGAACTCGTCAATGCACACAACGCCACCGTCAGCTAGCACCATCGACCCCGCCTCCAACACGAAGTCGCCATTGCCATTGGAGATGACGGAAGCCGTCAGTCCCGCCGCACTGCTGCCTTTGCCAGAGGTGTAGATGCCGATGGGCGCGACCTTCTCCGTGAACTTCAGAAGCTGGGACTTCGCGGTGGATGGATCGCCAATGAAGAGGACATTCATGTCACCGCGCAGGTAGTTGCTGCCCTGTTTCTTGCGCGTGCCGCCGAAGAGGAGACACACAATGGCCTTCTTCTGGTCCTCCAGTCCGAAGATGGCGGGGTCAATGCTCTGCGCGAGCCGCTCGTACACATGCCCCTGCTCGGCGAAGCGCTTAAACGCGGCCTCCTCCTCCGCTTGCCACGACGTCACCGACTGTGAGCGCACACGCGACGAGAAGTTCTGGTTGACGCTCTGCACCGACGTCCCGCCCTCCTTGGCGGTGATGTACATGAGTCCGATGCACCGGAGGTACTGCGCACGCAGCCCTGCGGCGCCGCGCATGCCCTTGGCGCTCTTTCTGCCGCCATCGAGGCCACCGCGTTTCTCCTGTACTGACACGATACCGGCCACCTGCACGCGGGAGCCGGGGCTAACACGGTCAACGAGGTAGCGGTCCACCACAACTGTCACGTGGCGCGGCAGTTCACCAGTCGGCACGTCTTCTGGAAGCTCCTGCAACTTTATGATCTGTTGGTCCTCGTACTCGCACTCCATCGGCAGAAGAGTGTACGGGTTCGGCCGGCACTTGCGCTGCCCCCCACCGCCAGCGCCAGCGCCGCCAAAACCACCAGCCCCATTCGCGCGGCCGCCATTCTCCAAGCAGTGCGGCGGCAGATCGATGCTGCGGCCACCGTTGATGTACGTCTTGCTCGAGCAGCTGGTGCACTGTATGGCAGCGCGCACACACCTCGCGTGGCACGCACTGGCCTTCACCACGATGCCGCTGACACACACAAGGCGCGCCACAGACGCCTGCGCGAGCTGCCGGAGCGGTGTGGGCGGCACTCCCCAGTACAGCTGCAGCTGTATGGTACTCTGGCGGCTAAAGGCCGGGAACAACTTGCGTTCCTGCGCGAGTTCCCACAGCGCGTGCTCGAACAGCGGCAGCGTGCGTGTGGGGGATGTGTGAAGGGCGTTAAACAAAGTGCCACTGAACTGTTGCACGTGCGCCATCTCAACCTCCAAGAAGAAAAGCCCACCTGCAAGGTTTGCCCGCAGCATTGCCATGTAAAGGTGATCGTTGTGAATGCGAAACCGCTCCACAAACTCCTTAAGAACCAATTTCATATCCACCGCCTCGTCCTGCTGCCGTTCCGCCTCGTCCTCTGCAGCCAACCCACCGCGGAAGTTGGTGACCTGCACTAATCCCTGATCCGCCTCCATCACTTCTCCCACTGTTATCTATCTCTCACTCGCGCTCCTTTGTTCTCCTTGTTTTCTATCTATAGTTTCTATGGCCTTGTTGCCGGTGTCCGACCCTCCCGCACGCTTCCCTAAGGACAGACCACAGAAGCCGGGGAGCAAAAGAGACTGCTACACGCCTGAGAGCAACACACTGAAAGCAACAACAATAACAACAGCAAAGGCGGGACGCGGGCTTGGTGGTGGTGGTGCACCATCTTCACGCAGATACAGACACACCTCCAGCCTGCTTAAACGCCCCATCTGGCCGTAGTGTACTCCCCTCTTTTTCATTTCATTCTTTATATATATATATATATATATATACAACACCACGTAACCCTTTAGCAGCACACAAACACACACACACACACACATCATCATCATCATCATCATCATCGCCCTTACCATCAGCATCGGCAGCTTCTGCATCATCGTCTTCATTCATCATTCTCAGTGGCTCCAAAGGCGGTCAGGGCCTCTTTGCTGTAGTCGTCAAACGGGTTCGCACCGCTGAGCACAAGCACACCACTCTCCATTACACCATTGATGCGCTTCTCTACTAGGAGCGGTAGCAACCACACATGGCAAGCCTCTTGGAGGCTGAGGGGCATGTGGTAGTAGTCGATCATATCCTGCACCGAGAGCCGGTTAGAGGGATGGCTGATGTAATACTTCACAACCATCAGCAATGCAATGCGTTTGCCGACCACCTGCAGCACATTGTGAATACCACACCGCACGTACCACTCTGAGTTGTTGCGATGCGCAACGTTGAAGAGATGCAAGTTACAGCTGCGAACTGCGAGGATCAGATCCTCCAACTCCGTCACGTTGTACGCCTCCTGTTCCGCTGGCGAGGGCATCTTCCCCAGCGCCAACCCGCACGCCGTAAGCTTCACGAAGAGAAGTCGCCTGTTCTCTATAGCATCATCAGGTACAATAACAAACGCATGAGCCAACAACTTCATCGCCTGATAGATAACGGCATCCGAGAGGGACTCCACTAGGAGGTTGTGGGCGTAGTGGTGGTACAATGTGCAGCGAATCCCCACCATGTCACTGCAGTGCTCATGAAAGGATTGAATAAACTGTTCGCAGTTGGCAGGAGCACAGCAATGCAACATCATCTCGCCCAACACACACGCAAATGCAGCCGCTCGCTGCCGCTCGACCTCCGAGTGCGGTGCGTGTTGAAGGGCCGGCATACGCACGTGGCGATTAAGCTTAAGGAGCACAGTCTTTACGTTGGGGAGGACACTTGAAATGCCCTCGTCATTGGCGAGCTCAAATGTCTCCCGCGCACGGCGCAGAGTGAGAGGTAGGACACCGTACGGCGCATGATTCTCACTCTGATTTGAAAACAACTGAAGACATATATCACACAATAGATTTGCGTACGTGCAGCTGTCCGCCAATACGCTCCATTTGTTGTCTAACACAATGGCACGCTGCGCGCCGCTTGTTGAGTGCCGATCTGCCTCCCCAGCGGAAATGATGCTTGAAACAAGGTTTAAGTGGCAGCCAATCGCAAAGAGCGCGACCCAGTACTCTCCTTTTACTGTCGTCTGCTGCTGTCCTTTCAGCGCAAGCCACGCGCCGAGCATCTGCTGCAGCACTGTGGCGAACTCGCCGCTACCGTGACTGCCGACCACACCAAAGAAGGCACTCTCAAGGAGCTCTGCCGCCTCCTCGCGTTGTGCCTCCTTTTCGCTCATGATTTTACACATGAAGCTGGTGAACACGCGTGTGGCAAGAAGCTGATTCTTTGCGTCAACAACGGCAGACTGCTGCTGTTTCTGCTGTGGGGCGCGATTCTGCTGGGTCTTGCCGCCTCTAGCAGGAGAAAATGACGTAGTTGATGCTGGCAACTGCGCCTGTGGCGTGGGTCTTGACTCACGCACCCCATGAGCAGAGGACGGCTGTGCGTCACCACGCCCTGAGCCTCTTCCACCCACCACCGCACCGCCTCGCCCACGCTTTGCACCAGCTGCCATTGGATTGAATGGAGGTGTGCTTTGTGCCTGAGCGGGGAAGACGGAAGGAGAAGGCGAAAATCTTTCTTTCGGCGACGAAAAAACTGCTGCTGCTGTTGTTGTTGCTGTTGTTCCGTCCCACGTACTTTTGCCTTTTGGTGCGCCAAATGCCGAGGATCGGGGATCCGTGGGGGTGGGAACTGCACTGGCAGGAGCAGTGCTGCTGTGGCTGGCACGCTGGAAGACAGATGGAGCAAACGCAGAAGACACCGCGGCCTTCACAGCGTTGTTGTTCGATGGAGCCACAGCACCACCACTTGAAAACGGTACAGTCGCCATGCTCAACGGAGCAGCAGAAGTGAATGCTGCGGCCGTACCAAACACCGGCGCGTTGAATGCGGATGTTGTGTGGCCTGTCGGCAGCCCAGCTACTGCTGCTGGCACTCCTTCAGCAGGCAGTTTCACGGTAGGTGTGCTTGAGGCGCCGAAAAACACGGGCGGGCTTGCGTTGCGAGGGTAAGGAGGTGGGCCGCCAGGGGCATTTGACCGTGATGATCGGAACACAGTTGCGGTGTTTCGTGACGCAAGCACAGGGGAGTGCGATGGGAAGCCTGGCGGCTGGGATTGGTGCTGTTGTTGATGCTGCTGCTGCTGCTGCTGCGGCGGCGGCGGCGGCGGCGGCGTTGGGTCCGCTGGTGTGGAGAAGACGCTGCCAAACGACCCGGGCGGCACGGCACCTGAGAGTGTTTGCGGTAGAGCATTAAACACGGACATTGCTCTCCCTAAAGCTTACACAAGAGGAAATAGCAGGAGACGCATAAAGGAAATTGGCAGACCGCCGCTTCGGTTTTTTTTTTTCTTGTTGTTGTTCTCTATAATCTTCTTCGCTGTGGTCGCGTCTCTCTACCCATTCTTGTTTCGCGCAGCAGTGCGCGGCGTACACGGAGCAGAAATCCCACGCCCTCCCCATCTCTGGACGGGAAAGGCAGCCTCTAGTAATACCAGCAGCTACACAGGCAGCGGCTCCAACGTGCCAAGCGTCTTTCCCCCCTTCACCGAAACCGGCAGCGGCACGCTCAGCGAGAGTGCCGTCGCTTGCCGCTCGAGGACCTGCTTGATCTTCGGCGCCAGAATGCCTACCGCGCTGTCAGGGACAACGTACACCAGCTCGTCGTGCACACTCATGACAAGCGCCACTGGAGCCGCGGGAAAATACGGCACAAACTCGTGGCGCCTCTCATGCACCTCCAGCATTGCGTGGTGGAGAATTACAGCCGCACCGCCCTGAATGGCCAGCGACACAGAGCTCTGCTTCCGCCGATTGTCGTCCAACTCGCCAGACAAACTCCACACGCCGCTCAGCGTCACACAAGATCGCTCGTGAAAGGCGCGAAGGCGCGTGTTTTTCAGAAAGCCACGCACGCCTGGGTAACACCGATTGAAGGCATGTAAGAACTGAAGCGCAGAGAGGGGTGGCCGTTCTGTCGCTGCCGTTGATGTATCGACGAGAGACTCCGCATAAAGTTGGCGCAGGCGCTGATCCATCAGTTCAGGCCCCATGCCGTATAGAAGGCCGTACACCACTACTTTGACGGCTTGCCGCATGTACGGCTGCACATCCTCGGGGCGGTGCAGTCCAATAATGCGGCGCGCCATCTCAGCGAGCACATCCACACCGCCGCGGAGTTGCTCCACGAGAAGCGCATCACCACTCAAGTGCGCCAACACGCGCAGCTCGATCTGGTTGAAATCAAACGACAGGAGAGAGCACTCGGGGGGTGCACCGTACAGGTGCCGCAATGTCCACTCTGGATTGGAGAGGATCGTGGTGGCAGTCGACGACGGCAGTGCGTAGCGGCATAAAGAGGGTTTCTTCGGCAGTGTCTGAAGATTCGGTTTCGAGCAGTAGAGCCGGGCGGTGCTGGCATGATGAACTACCCAGCTCGGATGCACAGAGAAGAAGAGACGATGCTTCGCCGCCTCGCTGTCAGCGCTTCTACAGTCGTCAGTGTCGTTGCCCGACCCGGTTGTTAGTTCTGGAACGGCAAAGAGTCTTGCATGAATCCTCGCGCCGTTCGAAAAAATTTCACGCAATGAGCGTCTAAACGCGAGACGTTCTTGTAATGCCAGCCATATGTGCGCCACATTCCCCCCGCTGTCGCCCTTTTCAGCAAGGCGTGCAGACAGGTCCTGCAGCTGCTGCTCCCACCTACCCTCTCCACGAGGGAGACTGCCTTGCTGCTGCTTAAGAAGAAGAACAACAAGATCCCTTGCTGTAGCGGTCTCCATATCAACATCGTTGTCACCATCACGTGGCACCACCGCCCGTAGCACTTTGTTGCCTTCTTCGATCAGGGCCGCCACCTGTGTGTCCAGGTCGTGGAGCATGTCGTCGTGCAGCCGCTTCTCAATAAACATGCCGTGGTATGACATGACCTCGCAGAGGAAGGTCACACGTGTCTCCAGGCGGCACACGGCGGAAAGTGGCGTTGACACTTTACCTGTCGCCCCGCTGCTGTCAACTGAGCTGAGGTACGCGTCGTAGTACGCGTGCAGAGTGGCCAGCGACTCCAGCCGCTCCACCAGTTGCGTGAGCGGCACCGCCGCCACTGTGCTCATCGAAGACGACAGCAGCGTTGGTGATATTGATGACTCCACCGATTCGTCCTCGTTACCGTCTCTCCACGCCGTGGAATCGTACCGAGCAGCCTGCGTGGCGTTCTGCAGCCGTACCGCAATGACCTCTCGCTCAGATTCTGGCAGCAGCTGCATCAGCTCCTGCGCCTTTGTACACGCTTTTAGCCACGGGCGCGGCCCACCCACGCGGCTAACCACCGCCGCCCACACCGCCACATCGATGACGTTGTGCACCACCACGCGGTCGGTGCCGAGGAGCAGGAACAGCAGCCGGTACACACACGGCGCCTGCAGCAGTATCTTCGTCACCGCGGGGGCGGCAAGAAGTCGCGCGAGAAACACAACCGGCGGGCACTTCGCCGCGTCGAGTGTGTAGTAGGACTCCCCACGTACAATGAAAAAGAGCTGCACTGACGCTTGGAAGTTGCGCAGCACGTCGCAACTGGCCTTTTCCATTGCCGCGAGTGCCGCCGCGAAGCCGTGGGGATCGCGCAGCAGCGGAATAGTGCCGCTCAGCTCCACGTCAATGGCTACAGGACCCAGCAGCCCCTGCAGCAGCGCATCGCTCACCGGCAGCACATCCTCGAAGCGGTGCGCAGCAGGGCCCGGCGCCACCAGCCCGGTGGTGGTGGTGGTGGCGGCGTCCCCACTCTGGTGTTCCTGCTCCTGCGGCTGTTCCTGCTGTTGCGCTGCGTCACTCTCCTCGGTGCGGGGGCGCTTCGGACTTCGTTCCTCAAGGTCGCCTAATCGATCCGCCGCTGCAACGGGGAATCTCTCTATGACCAACTCCTGTTGTGACTGCGATTCGTGTTTTAAAACAACTTGCTCTGGCTGTATTACCGTTCCCGCCTTCTCTTGTGGTTGCGTTGCCTCCTCCTTCTCCTTCTCCTCATCCCTTTCTCCCTCCTGCTGCTCGGTCTGCTGCTGTTGCTCTTCAGCCGGGGTCGTGTCTGCCCGGCCGCTAGTCGCACGGAGGGGCGGCGCCACTCTGTGTGGCCGCTGCGACTCTTCGAGTGCGGCGGCCCAGAACAGCACCGAGTTCGCACGGCTTCGCGGCCTGGTGAAGCGAACTGCGTGGCTCATGTGTCTCTCTCGACACCCTACTTTCTTTGGTCCCACCGCAGTTCCTCCAAGCAAAAAGGAAATGACAAATGAAGCAGACGAGAGGCAGCGGGAGTGGGCCACACACACACATATATATATATATATATATACGTGTCACCTGCACAACCCTCCCTGACAAGTGACGATGACAATAAAGACCGCACACTCTTTTCTTCTTTTTTCTGGGTTTGGCAGTTTTCTGAACTCACCCCTCCTGGGGCTTCAGACTCTGCCCTTATAAACTTGCAGCAAGGCATGTGGAGAGATGCCGCCTCCACCACCGCTTCTGCTGCTGCTGCTGCCTTACAAATTCCCCTTCACCCGAGCTTTCATTATTGCACTCCTTATTCGACGCCGCGCCGAACCGGGCGTGGCGCACGCAACGACCAGCGAGGCGGGGAAAAAAAAAACGACGCGCAAAAGCCACAGGCGGCCGCCACGAGCGCGCCCACATGGGAGACCAGTAACTTCAAAACACAGAAGATGTGTTAGCACACACAAGGAAGGAAACAGCCGCAGACCTTTCCCCTTTCTCCATTATCCGTGTCTTGCGTTCGTTCCTCTCCCTTATTCTTCTTCATACCTCCTCTGTTGTTCTCGTTTTCTTCTGTTGTTCTGTCTGCTCTTTTCTGCCCAGGCTCCTCGTCACGTGGGCCGGCGCACCGTCACTGCGGCTGACGGTTGCATGGCCGCTTCCACCTCCCCAGTGAACTCCTCGTCCCAGTCGCTCTGCAGCGCCTCGAACGTGACGTCGCGGGCCTGACGCGGCCGGCTGGGCAGCGTGGAAGAGAACACGCGGCGTCCGCCGCTGCTGCTGTACGCGCCTCCGTGCTGGACGCCATGCGACGAGTAGCGGCCGCACGTCAGCACCACTAGAACACCGCGCGCCAGACCGCACCAGCAGCGGTAATTCGGCAGCACCTCTGGGAAGTGCCGCATGCCCTTGTGGTACCGCACGATACTCCCCACCACAAAGTACAGCAGCAGCAACGCCGCCACAATGCTGATGATAATTATTGGGATAGGCATCCACGGGGGCTGCTGCATTCTACTCTCCCCTTCTATCGATCTCTCTCTCTCTCTCTCTCTCTCGCTCGCTCGCTCTGTTGGCTGGTGTTGCTCCCCCTTCCCTGCCTGTGCCTGTACGGCCCCCTTTATTTCTCGTCGGGTTCGGGCCCACTGCGGTGTTGCCCTCGTTGAAGCTCCAGTGGGGACAGCGACAGGGCACGCGTAGCGTCGCTGCAACTGAGGCGGGGGATAGCACACAAACACGCTAAATTATACGCGGGGTTCAGAGCCACACAAGAGAAGAGAACACACGAAAGAGAGAACAACCAAAAAAAAAAAAAA